CCTCTAAAGTCTAATCATCTAAAACTGTCACAACCCCCATGCAGTACCTGCAAGAACCCCCTAGGGGTCGCGGACCCCCTGTTAAAGACCTCCGCTCTAGATTAAAATGCTCTTCTTTTCCGATCAGTTGGTTTTGGCCGACTTGGACAGGTTGAATATCAGTGTGTGAGACATTCTCAGAGGTGTCTCCCTGACCCGTTTACTGCGGTCTTTATGATGCAGTTTGATCACTATTATTCCCTCCCAAACCTCTGAGGCTTCCACAGGTTAGTTGTTTTTATACTGAGATTAAATGGAACACAAACAAACTCTGTTTAGATTTTAATGTAAACAATTTCAACAAAGTCATAATTTTAAAAACTAAAAATCCAGATTCTGAAGAAGTAGATCTTATCTGATCTAATAATCTTATGTCAGTTTAAGTTTTCCATCCAATCAGGGAGCATGTTAGGATCTTTAACATGGTTGCTGCACTGCTTCTCCTCTGAGCCTTCAGTCCAACTTTCCTACGGCCATTAGTTGAACAGAGAGTGGATTTTTATTGTTATTCTCTAGCAAACAGCAGACAGATTGAATTACTGGTCTACGCCTTTCTTAATAATGTTGCACAGATCAGCAGTAAATGCTTTATGGCTGTAACATCTACTGCTCAGGCTGATCAAACTATGATCTGGCCCAACACATTTTAAGGTAAAAATGACTAATAACTTTTAAGACTTTGAAAAATAAAATACCTGCATTTACTACTCATTTATAGCACATTTTTTTTATAGCACACACCTTTATGTGGTAAAGGCATAAACTAGAGAAACCAGGAGAAAGAAAATGGAAAAGGCAGGGAAAGAAGGATGGGAGAGAAGAGCAGCGAAAAGAAAAAAAAGGAGAGGAATATGGAAATAAAGAAAGGAGGCACAATGAATGAGAGACAGATGGACACAAGAAGAGCAGCAGGAACAGAGGGAAATGGATAAAAACAAATATACCAGCTGGATAATTTTGCCAATTTAAGCCATTTCATCTTATATTTGTATCAGTCGATACATATAAGGGTTCGCAAATTCATTAGTGCATTCAGCAGCCATACTCTGATATCACATGAAGCGCATGTATCGCCGCTCCCTCCATCTGCAATTCA